AAAATGCCGTCCGGTAATCGTGAAATTTCGTTCCTTTAAAACGAAGCAGCTGATTCTATACCAGTCAGTGAAACTCGGGGATGAAGGTATCACTGTAAGGGAAGATTTTTCTTTAGAAACGCGCCAAGCCAGGAAAAAGCTGCTTCAATTTGCCAAGAATAGGGGCTCGCATCACAAACTGAGGTACAACAAACTGTACATTAACGGTCAGTGCTATAGCTACAGCGCCGCTCGTGATCATGTTTCTATGAAAAATAATTTTCGGGGACAGACATCGCATCACGATATCGACGATTCTAGTATCTGTGACTTGTCACGTACTGAGCATACTGATTGCTCTGCTCGTCGGCTGGTCCAGAGTCAGCAGTTAACCCGTGATGTCACCCTGCGCTGTAGGGTTGCGCGAGGGGCAGTGGTTCAGCGCCTACTACCGCAAATTCTCTTTTATTTTTACAAATATTACAAGTTTATTACCAAAGCGTGATGAACTTGACTCTATAATCGATTCCTGTGATGCTTATGTTGTTTTGTTGACTGAAACATGGCTTTCTTCCAAGGTAACGAGTATGGAATTGTTTGATTGCAAAAGACGTTTAACGTATTCTGCTTCGACAGAGGCCAAAGGTGCGGCGGTGGTGTTTTGATAGCTGTCGCAGATAACTTTGTTGCATTGCCTATTGATTCCCCAAGTAAACTGGAACTAGTCTGGGTTGAGCTTTGCGTACGTTTTAAGAAGTTGATCTTGGGCATATGTTACCGTCCCCCGTCTTCGTGTCCCACTTTCAGTTGATGAATTGCATGATGCGCTTAACATGATCACTTGTACGTTTTCCCAACACTCCTATCTTGGCTGGGGATTTCAACTACCCCTCGATTGTGTGGAATAATGCATTGCCTTATTCTAGCCCTTTCTCGACTAATGTAACAAGTTTTTGATGACTTGTCTGGACTTCAACGTGTCACAACTTGTCTCTGAACCTACTCGAACTACCTCAGCCACATCCAGCATTTTAGATCTTGTTCTAACTAACGTACCGCATATTATCTCATCACTCGTGTATCTACCTGGTCTCAGTGATCATTCGTTACTCCATTTTGATCTTGAAACTCCTGTCTCTAAACACATCAATCAGAAAAAAATATATTGGAGACTATAAACGTGCTGACTACAACGCAATGAATCGTGAGCTAGCTCTTTTTCTCGATGATTACTTGCGGGAGTTTTCACTGCACTTTGTGGAAACTAATTGGGAATTGTTTAAGGGCATTGTTCAGCGTCTTATTGACGCTTTTGTGCCACTCAAATCTTTGAGGTGTGAAAAAGAATTACCTTGATTTAATAAGTATTTGAAAAGACTGTCCAATAAAAAGAAACGTTTGTTTCGCTCTGCAAAGGTTATGAACTCCGAGGTGCAATGGGAATCCTATTTTTTCGTGGCTGCTGAGTACAAAGCTGCATTAAAGAGCGCCAAGGACACGTTCAACAACCACACTTTGCCTGCTATGCTTATTAACAATCCTAAACAATTTTGGAATGTAATAAACAAGAAATACACCACCACATTGTTACTTACATCTACTGATGGTGTTGCAGTCCCGTCACACGAATGTGCTTCTGTTCTCAACAATGTTTTTGCGGCGGCTTTTTCTAATGATGTTTCTTGCAATAATTTTAACTACCCTGTTTTAGAAGTTCCTCCTATGAACCCTGTTATTTTTGACGTATCCGGCATTCAGAAGATTATAGAAAATCTTAAAATTTCTTCTTGTGGCATTGACAACATCAATTCCAAATTCTTGATGAATACAAAGTTGTATTGTTCCATAATTCTTAATAAACTGTTTGAACAATCTCTTGAAACAGGTTGTATTCCCAACGATTGGAAAGTTGGGAGGGTGATTCCTCTGCACGTGTCTGGAAGTACACATTGCCCTGACAACTTTCGTCCCATTTCTCTCACTAGTATACCTTGTAAAATCATGGAGCACGTCATATACTCTCATCTCGTCTCTTTCTTAGAATCGAATTCTTTTTTCACTATAGCCCAGCACGGATTCTGTAAGTCATTTTCATGCGAAACCCAACTCATATGTTTCACTCATGAACTTCATTGCATCCTCGATCAGGGATCTCAGGCAGACTGTATATATTTGGATTTTTCGAAACCTTTTCACAAAGTTTCGCATGAACTTCTATTTCTTAAACTACGTAATCTTGACATTGACCCTATTGTACTTGCATGGTTGAACTGTTTTTTTTTTTGCAAACCGCTCACAATTCGTAACAGCAAACAACTTTGACTCACATCTTTTACCAGTCCGTTCTGGTGTACCTCAGGGGTCCGTTCTCGGGCCCCTTCTGTTTCTAATGTATATAAATGACTTACCAACTAATATTGCTTCTTCAATTATTCTTTTTGCAGATGATTGTGTTACTTATCGCAAAATTAACGACAATAACGATGTCTCTTGCCTTCAATCTGACATTAACAAGGTCATGGACTGGTGCAACACTTGGAACATGAAACTAAACATCAATAAGTGTAAGCACATGCACATTTCTCGAAATTCTAGCCCAGCTTCCACTTACCACATTTACAATGTCTTTCTTGAAACTGTACTCTCTTATAAGTACCTAGGTGTTCACATTTCTTCTAATCTGTCTTGAAAACTCATATTCATTATATCATAAATAACGCCGACCGCATGCTTGGGTATATTCGCAGGCACTTCTCTCATTCATCCAGTTCAATAAAACTATTTATAAAACACTGGTTCACTCAAAATTAGAGTATTCTGCATCTGTCTGGAGCCCTGGCATTGAATCTCTCATTTCCGATTTAGAAGCTGTGCAGAACCGTGCCTGCCGTTTTCTACTCTCCAACTATCACCGAACAAGCAGCGTAACCGCCATGAAATTAAGTTTGTCACTCCCTCCTCTTTCTCGACGCAGGTCAGTAGCCTCATTATGTCATTTTCACAAAATTTTTTACAACAGCTATCTGAAACAGAAACTATTAACAAGGCCATCATACATATCAGCTCGAATTGATCACCGCAATAAAGTTGCAGTTCCATCATGTCACACCAAATGCTTTCATGACTCATTCATACCCAGATCTTGTGTTAGTTGGAATAATCTTCCCCATGATATCGCTTATATAACTGATAAAAGTATGTTTCGTGAAACTATTAATCTTCTCTAAATGTTTGTATATATATTTATATATGTTTGTATATATGTATTATATATGTGTGTATATGTAAGGTTATTATTGTTAGTATACGTTTTTCCTTATAAATTTTCATTTATGCCTACTTTATTTTGCTTATCTCCTGTGAGTTTTTTCTGGGCTGTTTTACATTGCTTCTGTTATGTATATCTCCACTCCCCTCTGTAATGCCCTCTGGTCCTGAGGGTACAATTAATAAATAAATAAGGTCGGAGGTTTTCTGATTTCAAGGGGTAGCTCTTCCGCTTTGCCGTTACCTGTCAACTGACGAGTTGCGCGCGCCTGTGTTTCGAACTAATCCGGCTGCTTCTATGTCAATAGGGAGTTTTAAAATACCGATTGTAAGCGATGCGGGTGTTGCGGGCGTAGCGGGCGCCATATAAGATTTAAAATAGCGTTTCCCCGGCTGCGAACAGGAACGCACGATCGCAGCGACACCGTAGTCTGAAACCTGTGCTTGCGGGCCACATGCGGGCCGCCATTACCGCACGCAATTTCGCATTTTTTGCGTGCGGTCCGCGAACGCGAACGCGGACTCGCGTTACGACGCCTGCGCAGTGGCTGCGACCGCACCGCAAGGGCTCGCGGTGCGCTATTCTAAAACTCCCTGTTGTTACGTTTAGCAAATACGTCGCGGGCGGTTGGAGTGCGTGAAAGTTAAACGTTAGAAAGTTCTTACTACTAAACAATAGGCAGGGGCTGCCTTTCAGGCTGTATCCTATTTTGTTGGTGTTTTGGAGTAGTAATTAAAACTCAGGCAAATGGATAAAAAAGTAGAGAGGGGCCCTCAGTCGGGAGTCAAATATACGTAATAGTGATTAGATCTACGGTTAGCCTAATATTGGTAAATGATAGATGATGAAGAGGTAAGGAGTGAAATAATGTAGTTCTAGAAAGTGGCGGAAGGTAGGAAACTTCGTACCAAAAAATGACATGTTTGCATCACTCACAAACAGTTTAATATGCTTTAGATTTGTTTCGCTAGAGAATTACTTGACCGTTTGAGACTCTGAACATTTTTGGATCCCGCCACTGAGCCCTCTTTTCTATTTTCTTTCATGGTGAGGTTAGGACATATTGAACTAATAGTTATGGTTCTGGTCTCCATGGTTGGATTGCAATAGAGTGGATGATGCTCGAACGACAGGTGTTTAGCGCATTCTAAGTTTCTTGCTAAAATTACCGGTATCGAGAAAACTCCGAGGCTGGTTCGCTAATTTGACAGAGCATAGCGCTATTACAACAAATTTATTGGTTTTGTTTAGGTATGGGCAGAAATAAGGATTTGTATCAAATTGGCCCAATTGGCGCAGCTGTTGCACGCCTGCTGAGATTTCGCGACAGCGCATTGCAGGCAACGGTCAAAGCACATAAGTGGCCAGCGAAGATGAGCCATACGTTTCAATGTCGAGCAAGAAGCTGTGATCATGGCTCCCCGAGGCGGTTAAATTAAATTTCTACGGCATGACGAAGGCCAACTACAAGCTGTCTCTGTAAGAGCCATCCTTATTCTTTGAACTGTTACATCTACTTCGATGGACGAAAACGCCATTTGCTTGACCGATCACAAATATACACTGGCTTTCTTTAAGAAAACCAACACGTGAGCTCACGACCTACGCTATACGCTCACCGAACGATGGGACGTTTTGTTCAGTAGTGCTGTAAGCAGCAGCCGCGCAGCGTAGGCAAATCGATGGCAATTTTCTTTTCACTCTGTTCTGTTGACACGGAAATTAGAACGAGAGATGGAATCCCCGTACTCACCGAGCATGGCGAACACGTGCTTGTGCTCCTTAATGGCCGCATCGAAGTTGCTGTCGTTGAGGACGAGTACACGGTCCTCGATATCGTAGTCAACGCAGTTGCCCACCGCTAAGCAGCACAGTAGGCCGATTAACCTTATAAAAAACATGATTCCTCTTCGCGCCGTTTTTACGAACCCTACAAGCGAACTGGTTAGCAGCGCACCGCAGAACCCACCACGAGTGCCGCAGTGTGACAAGACACGAAGGTCAGCGTAGGAATGTGACCCCCAACCACATGACCTCATTCACGCCAATGACATTTCAAGACGAGCTCGACGACTCCATGTGCCGTGGTGTCGCGCTGCTGGGCTGGGGTCTTTCCAGGTACGCGCTCACATCCTACCTTTCTGCATGGCAGCCTTCCTTACCTGTTCGCCACAGTTACCAACGCTTTTCCTTTTCGTGAGTTGGAACCTCTTTTTCTCCCTTTTTTTCTATCATGCAGCTTTCTCATCTCTCTCCCTGTCTCTTTTATCTCTCTGGACGGCAAGCAATATTTCAGTTTTTTTGCTACTTCACACTGACATCAGCTTTGTGAGACTCACAACCTTGACCTCTGCGTGGCGAGTTTGCGCTTCATGATGGTGGTAGCCTGCCCTTTTGCGAAGGGGGAATGTACTCAGTGTGTTGGCCTCAAGGGAAAAAACCAATAAATAGGAAAAACCACACGCGAAGAAGGAAGGAGACACACAGAGCAGCAGTGATCCTTGCGAGCGCTCTGACCACTAAAAAAAACTTTTTCATATACTTTTTTAACAAAAAGAGGGGACGTCTCTATTATGGACTGGCACAGGAGCAGAAGGGCTGAGTTTCTTGCTTCGGAATGGAATTTCAGTGGCTGCGCTTGTTAAGAACATGAGACACCCGTGCAGCCTTCGTTGAAAATGGCTGTCCACGCAGTGCTCGCTTAAACGTGGTTTTCGGAGCTGACGTAGCACACTGCGGCACTCTCAACGATGAAAGAGTGGCACAAGTGGCCGGTTTCCGGAACTGCAAGAATGCGTCACGTGGCGCCATTTTTCATGAGCACGCTCCTATCGTGAGCGCTAGGAACATTTGTGGTTTCAAAGCGTGAAAATCACTCCAACAAGCAGCGATTTCGGGGCAAACGCGATGAAGATATGTTTGCTCATATCTCCAGGAGAAAAAAATACATCTGCATAGCTACATCTGCCGATAAGCAATGTACAAGCAATTTCTTCAGATATAGAGCTTTCGAAGGGCAAACAGCAAGTTTGCCTGCTGCCTGCCAGCCACCCCATTTTTTTTTTTTTTTGCAAAAGGGAATGTGCATGGACAATCTCGCTATCGGATGCCAATTTGTTTCCGTTGCGACTGTACGTTTGCATGAAACGAGCTTTTTCAAACTGAAACAGTGAACACGCACCATAAAACTGTCTTCAAATAATTAACCATGGTGCGCTATAGTAAAAAAAAAAAGGTTTCCAGCGTTTGTGCGTGGCTCTTACAAAGAACGAAAAAGGAACAGCTGACCGGGCTCTAAAGGTAGACTATTTTTGTTCGCTGATGAACAAGCGCCATTCGTCGTTGCAGTTAAAACAGTTGATAATCACGTGCAGTAGAGACGCCTGAAATCAACTGCGTCGATATTATTTACATGGTGGATAACTGCTTTAAAAAAACACGTCGGCAGTACTCGCACACACCGTCTCAGTTTCTCTCTCAGTTTTAAAATGATAGTTTTTTTAAACATGTCAGTGCTCGCCAAAATTTGGCTCACGTGCTTTCTCATTGGTCTCGTAATAGTATTTTGCAGGCAAAAATGGACGCAAATAGATCGCTAAAAAAACAAACTTTTTGTAACTGGTAGTTTGACCTAGGAGTTTCAACTTTGAACTTGTCGGCTCTAGAAAACGCAGTGTTGTAACTCTTATTTGTTGGTGTACAATCCACATGCCCCTGTTTTTATAGAGACGTCTAATGCTCAATTAAAGTTAGGTCAACGAGTGTATTTCATTTGTCCGAAAACTGAGTGGGGCGTGTTTCGGCGTAAGAACATTTCTCGAGTGTTGGAAACTGCTGTCGTTGTAGTCATTTTAAAATGTAGCGTAAGGCAGTTTTACCGGTAAACTGTTTACCATGTGGAAAGACAACATAGGTAACGTTCAGTAGTGCAGCTAGGAATTTTCAACGGCGGGGGGGGGGGGGGGGGAGGCTTAATCATACTGTATATGCTCGTGCATGTTTGTATGTGTGAATATATATATATATATATATCTTCACATTTACATTACAATTGGTGTAATAACTTCCCCTATACATTTTTTGCCATTATTGTCTGCTAGAACTAATTAATATTGTGTCAAAGCACGGAAAAACGAGCCCTAAGTATACACCTCTTTCCCTTATACCTTAACAAGGGTCTCGTGCTGGCAAACTTGGTGCCGTTTGGTTGTTTACTGAGGGACCATAGGTCAGCCACTAGCCCGTACCTAATAAGTTCACGTGCTAGGTGACGCCAAACAGCCACAATCGCCTTTTGGCTACAGGTGGCGCTGACTGAGACTCCCACGTTTAAATTCACATATAAACCCAATATGTGGCTGGGCCGACAGCCGCCGAGGTAGCTCAGTGGTAGAGCATCGAACGCGCAATTCAAAGGTCGCAGGTTTGGTTCCTGCTCACGGCAAGTTATCTTTTCATCCACTTTTCTTTCTTCACAATTACATTACAATTGGCCTAATAACATTTCCCTATACATTCCTTGGCAATATTGTCTGTTAGATCTCATTATTATTACGTCAAAACACGGGAAAACGAGCCTCTTAGTATAAACTTCTTTCCCTTATATATATATATATATATATATATATATATATATATATATATATATATATATATATATATATATATATATATGCAAGCAAAGGGGAAGATTTTCCTATTAAGTTTGAATCTATCTTGGCTAAAACCATGGTGACGTCTGTGTGAATGAGCAGTGGGTGAAGTTGAAGATTGGGGCACCTAGCATTCTATCACATAACGAAGCTTCCTCTGACGTAGATTTCATAGTGGCAATATTTGGTCAGTTGTGGAGGCGCGTAACCTGATATATTTTTTGGGGGGTGGGGGTTAGGGGGACCACCCTAATTTCGGGAGGGACACCCCCTAAGATGGGCATTTCTCTCTCTCTCTTTGCGACGGCGAAAATAACTTTTTTTTTGGTGAGAGGGGCGCAAGTGCCCGGTGTGCCACCTCCTGGCCAGCACCTACGGTTGAGAGGCGCTCATAATCTTCAAGGTCTAAGGTTCAACACCAGCAGCAGTCCGACAGAAGCGAGAAGTGCGAGTTTATTTGTGCATGCGAGTACACTGGGCAGCGTTTTCCAGTTTCTAGTGTGTACCGTCGTACATTCTAAAAGAGCACATGAAAAGCGCCGATGGAATTGATAACACCTAAAGAAAGTTGAGTATACATTTAGGCGACATGTAGCCGAAGTTTTAAAAATTTGTATCGAAGGAATATTCTTGCACAAATAACTAAAAGGTATAGAATTAAACAATGATTTTGCCTAAATTGACACACCGCACTTTGAGAACCATATATGTTTCACATTCACAAGTTCAGTTTTAGTGGAGAAATTCAAGGTTGAAGATCAATTTTTAAAATTAGTTGTGAGCATTTTGTGTGACCCAGGTGGTATGCATGTCCGGCCAGTGTATTGCTGGCCGCGCATCGCAAGAAAGAGAGAAAAGAAAGAGTGCGAGGAGGACGCCAGCGTCAGAATTGCTCGCGCGCTATCGGTTCCTCTCTCTAGGTCACGTGCACGCCTGTAGGTGACGTGCTGGTGACGCACGCACGCACCCGCGATGGAATGTGCGGAGTTTTTCCGGCTGTTCCATCGTAGGGAAGCACCTGCACCCTGCTACCTCACTCTTCCTCTACCTTTCCCTTCCTCTTTTTTGCGTCCCTCTTTCCCTGTTCCTGTAAGAGCTGAGCCCAACCGTGCTACCCCCAAGAGTTGTAGGAGAGTGACTTTTTGTTTTGTTTTATTCATTCAACAACTACATCATACGCGCCACTGCTGTCGTGGTCGACACTCATGTGCGAATTAAAGTTTGAAATCACCATCTAACATTCCATCACAAGCATCTCACTTCTGTCACACTATATACCCGTTCCAACTGCCCTTGCAGAAACACGATTCCGACGCTGATGACAGACGCCCAGACGCTCACGTCTGAATTAGACGCCAACACATCAAACGTGAAGCTTGTTTCGGTCAACGACGCGGTTCCGAATGACATGGAAGACTCACGCACATTTACATGCGTGACGTAATACGACGATCCACGTCGTATTAGTCGCGATCCACGTCGTACTAGTTGCCTTGGTGCTGTCTGTGCTGAAGGCGTCACGGAGGCACTTCTCGTTGACAGTCGGAACCTCTTCGCTCATTGAAACCATCACCGTGCTATCCCCATCTAATCGAAATCCATTCGCTCGCGCCCTCGTCGCACGCTGGCGATCCATCCAAGAAACCGAAGGGGCGAGGTGGCTTCGGCACGATGGAACAGCCGTAAACCTTTCTCTGTGTTTCCGTGACCCCGCGACGACAACAGTGACTGCCGGCGTGTCTTCGGTAGATCGGCGGCTGAGCGAAAGTTCGCCCCACGTCTTTGCTTCAAATGACCACGAAGTGGGCAATCTTGGGGGAGTTAACAATACCCTCTCCAAGGCTTCCGCGGCGTCTGAATAGGCAGCTCGAGCACCCAAACGAACTCTTTCTTTTCTTCGCAACCTCATTGTGAATCCCAGACCCCGTTTCTCGTTACCACGGATTATGGTGGGGGCTGCGCCGCTCAGCCATAGAGGGTCTATGTCAGAGTGGAGAGCATGGCTGAAAATGAGGGGCAGGTATTGCAAGTTTAGTCAGTGTCGCTGCGTCACCAGCGCCTGCGTCACCAGTACGTCACCTCCAGAGGCGAACTAATAGCGCGCGAGCAATCCATAGGCTGGCACTGGCGTCGTCCTCGCCCTCTTTCTTTTCCGTCTTTCGTGCGATGCGAAGCCAGCAATTTCAAATACGCGTCCGGCCAAGCGCACGGGACTACTCACGCACAATCGGGGCCGTTGGATGATTCCT